GACGAAATTACACGACAAACGTCAAGATAACGTTTTAAATACTTCAGGAGAAGTCGATCCGAGAAAAGCTGAGCATCTCATTCAATCGGCCATCGAAATGGGTCACGGTACCGGAACCGCCAACGATCAATCGGAAGCAAATGGCAATCCTTCATCTCGGCACGAAAAAACACGAGTGTTGACAGGTGGAGCACGTAGTGAGGACCATACAAAAAATACCGACACCGAAACGGAAAGAATACGCGAAAGACGTGAGAATAATCCGTATCAGCACAGACTCGGCGAGGTCGAAGATAAGGACCGACAAGATCGCCGCTTGACTCAACGTGACATGCAAGAAGAAGCGAACAGATCGTGGATTGCGGCTGGAAAAACACGAAAAGATGGAAGTACGAAGAACGGGAATACGGTGGAAGAGAGCAGCGGGAATCCCGATAAGAATCCTTATCATCGCAGAGAAGAACGCGAGACGCGATTGCTGGATAACGGAACGAAAAAGATCGGCCGATTGGATCGAATCGAGGGGAAGAGCATTTCGATAGAGACATCGAGACCAACCAAAAGACTCGAGGTAAAGCAGGATGGGAATGATCGCAATCGACACGAAAACGAGGAAAATCCAACTACTCACCGAGATAGAAAGACAGAAGGGAAGGATAAAGACAGGAAGGAAGGAGCGATGCTCCTAAATAAGAATAAAGAGCCTGGGAGTAAGAAAGCGACGGTTTCGCTTGACGACGCGAAAGAGGGACCCTTTGCCGTTAATGAAGAGGGAAAACTTCCTACAAATGATGAACAACGCAAAGCAACGTCAACTGAAAAAAGATACGATCTCGAGGAGGCGAGAAAATGGGGAGTTAATAGTAAGTGTCCACAGACATTTTTATAAAATACAAAAAAAAAATATTATTATGAAAAACTAGTATAATATTTTTTCAATTTCATGTAGAAATTGTATTTTGCGTGATTTAATGTGTGCAATGTCATTAGGATAAAAAATGCGGATAGAGAATATCTTATTAAAGTTAAATGAAATCATTTCTAATACTGTGCTTCTCTCGTACTATCGCACAAATCGCATTATCAATCGCGTGAAATGATGCGATGTGGTCGATTCTCGTTATCAGATTCCAGTTATGGGAAATATCTGTTTTGCAGATCCTTCAAATCCGATCGAGTATCAATTATCGAACGCGCACTTTGTGGAACTCGGTTGGACGCTGTTACCGATTACCAAAACCATGAGAAAAATCGTACAGTATGAAGCTAGACCGGCAAAGCCCAGTCTAAATTGGTAAGTGATATTTATATGTGTATCTATAAAAAAATTATGTAAATATAAAATATATATAAATAATATAGTTTTTAAATAGCATTGAAAGAGCAATAAACAAACATATTATTCGTATACTATA